ATGCACAGAAGAATGACAAGTGTTGAAAAGAATGAGATCAATGGAGAGTTAGAACAGTAAGAGAACACATCATGAAGAAGGAGAGTTTGGGAGCCAGGATCCAACTAGATGTAGGATTAGGCAAGAGGAGTAGAAACTGAAAAGGCAGATGGACAGCATGAGTAAAGGCTGAGAGATGCTGAAATCAGCCTAACTAAATCCAATGGTAGGAAAACAGAAACATCTGTTCACATGATGACTTGTACACTAAAGTTCATGGCAGAATTGAAATAGCCAAAAAGTGAGAATAGCACAGTTTTATCAACTGATTAATGGTTAAGTAGTTTAGCCACACAATGAAGTATCCTATCTAATAAAAGAGTAATATGCAAATTAACCATCACTCAGCTATAACCACAAGCCATGCCCAGTAGCCAATCAGGATTGGGTATGCAAATTAATCCCAACCAGGATGGCTGCAGCCATGAAACAAGCAGGAGGCTTGGGTTTCCCTGGAAATGGAGGAAGCCAAGTTTTCCACACAACCTGGTGGGCCCAGGCCTCCACTCAAGGCTACAAAGTTTCAATTTCAGAAGATAAATAAATCCCAGCAAAAATGGTTGCAGCCATGCAGCTGGAGAGAGCAGGAGGCTTGAGTTGCCCCCAGCAATGGAGGAAGCCAAGCTTTCAGCACAGCCTGGCCAGCCTAGGCCTCCACTCAAAGCTACAAAGTTTCAATTATAGAAGATAAAATAAATCCCAGATACTAGAGCCTCAACTTGGGTCGCCAGGAGGCATGGATGGCCTGCAAACCACCACAGACCCTGATCCAGACTCCCCATGCTCCAAGGGAACTCCCACTCTGATCTGGGACACCCTTCAGGGCAAACCAACTGGGGCCCGCCCGTGCACCAGACCTCTATCCTATCTAATCCTCCTAACTAATAAAAGAATAATATGCAAATTGATCATCGCTCCAACTCATAAGATTTCTGCCCACATGTGGTCAAAGATCCTGCCCCATTTGGACACAAGATGGCCACCACAAGATGGCCAGCAAGGGAGCGCAGTTGTAGGGACCAGGCCTGCAAGGGAGGGCAGTTGGGGGTGATCAAGCCAGCATATTAGGGAAGTTGGGGGTGACAGGGCCTGCAGGGAAGAGTAATTGGGGGGACCTGGGCCTGCAGGGGAGAGCAGTTAGGGGAACCAAGCATAAAGGGGAGAGCAGTTAGGGGCAAACAGGCTGGCAGAGGAACAGTTAGACATCAATCAGGCTGGCAAGGGAGTGGTTAGGAGGTGATCAGGCTGACAGGCAGAAGCGGTTAGGGGCAATCAGGAAGGTAGGCAGTTGGGAGCCAGCAGTCCTGGATTGTGAGAGGGATGTCTGACGGCCCGTTTAGGCCAGATCCCACCATGATAGGGCCTAAACGGGCAGTCAGACATCCCTTGAGCTGTCCCAGATTGGAGAGGGTGCAGGCGGGGCTGAGGAACCCCCCTCCTGCACGAATGTTGTGCACCGGGCCTCTAGTTGTTCTATGATATGGTTGAAACTTGAAACATAATGTTACATGAAAGAAGCCAGTCATATTGTGTGATTCCATTTACATAAAATATCCAGAATAGGCAAATCTATGGAGACAGAAATTAGAATGGATATTGCCTCAGACAGGGGGAGATTAGAAGCTGAGTGTCAGCTGAGAGATGTGGGGTTTCTCTTGGGGGTGATGAAAATGTTCTATAATTGATTGAGGTGGTAGCTGCACCTCTCTGAATACACTAAGATACTGAAATGTTCATTTTAAAATGGCAAATTATATGATGTGAATTTAATGTCAATAGAGTTTTTTAATCCAATGGTAGATCTCAATAATTTTCTTAATTCTCTATGGTGGAAGTACATATAATAATAATCTGAATATTGCCATGCTTTGATAACATTTTCAAAATTAAGATAAAATGAAGAAAGTATTTACTTCAAGAGGTTTGTATAATGACCTTCATGTTCAAGTTATTCTAAAATCCATGAAATATATACAGATTTTATATCCATTCACAAACATTAAGATTAAAAAAATAAGGTAACTTTCTAAAATATTCCATTAAGCATGGTTTTATCTACTTGCCTTATCATGGTAATGGTGATAATCACTAAAAATATGACTTAGTAGGGAAAAAAAAGTCTCTTAACTAATATAAGAAATTATGCATAATTCTCTACTTTCCTAAGGGTAAATATTATAAAATACATATAATACAAATGGCAGAATGAAAGAAAGAGTTTAAAAAATAAGTGCATTATAAAGATAATAAAATTGTGACAAATTAATTATAATGAAAATACAAGAGAGAGCTGTCCATGAAAATTAATACCCTAAAAACATTATAATTGTATTTGTACTTGATATATCTCTCCAGGGAAGGGGAGCAAAAGAAAAAAAATAAATGATATTACATCACACTAAAAAGTTCTTGCACAGCAAAGGAAACCATCAACAAAATGAAGAAACAGCCTACTAAATGGGAGATAATATTCAGCAATTATACATCTGATCAGGGGTTAATATCCAAAGTTTATTATAAAGAACTGATACTACTCAACACCAAAAAATATAATTTAAAAATGAGCAGAGTACATTAATAGACACTTCTGCAAAGAGGACATACAGATGGCAAAGGTGCTCAACATCAATAATCATCAGAAAAATGCAATTTAAAATCACAATGAGATATCACCTCACATCTGTCAGAATGACTATCATCAATAAATCAACAGACAGCAAATGTTGGTGAGGATGTGGAGAAAATGGAACCCTCATGCAATGTTGATGGGAATGAAAATTGGTGCAGCCACTATAAAAAACAAAATGGAGGTTAAAGAAAGAATTAAAAATGGAATTGCCTTTTAACCCAGAAATTTCACTTCTGGTTCTATAGTCAAAGAAACTCAAAACATAGATTTTAAAGAACATATTCACCCCTACATTCATTGCAGTGTTATTTACAATAGCCAAGCTATGGAAGCAGCTGAAGTGCCCATCAATAGACAAGTGGATAAAATTGCATATTACTCAGCCATAAAAAAGAATGAAATACCATTTTCAGCAGCATGAATAGACCTAGAAAGTATTATGCTCATTGAAATTAGGCAGAGAGAGACAAATACCATGTGATTTCACTTATATGTGAAATATAAAGAACAATATAAAAGAACCCTCCCCAAACACATACACACAGAAGCAGACTCATACAGAGAACACATTGATGGTTGCCAGAGGAAAGTGGGGTTAGTGCACTGAGTGAAAAGGGTGAAGGTAAAGGGATTGAGAAGAACAGATTGTAGTTACAAAATAGTCATGTGGAGGTAAAATACAGCAAAGGAATATAGTCAATAATATTGTCATAATTATGTGTGGTGGCAGGTGCATACTGGGAATATTGGGGGGAGGGAGACAATTTTTAAAGTTTATGATTATTTAACCACTATCTGTACACCTGAAAACTAATACAAAATAATATTGAAAATATACTGTAATCGAAAAAAGTTTTAAAATAAAAGTTAAAAACAAATGAAAAGAAACCTAATTTAAAAAACAAACAAAACTTGTAGCTGGCACTCAATGAAATGGCATAGCATGATATCCTCTATAATTAAATAATAATATATATGTTTATATAATAAAAGACTTGTAATAAGTGGATATTTTTCTGAAAAAAATAAAGTTAGATCTAAACTTCTAACTTTGTATAAGCATAAATTCCCAAAAGTTCAAAAATATAAGATGATGAACTCTTGAAAGTAAAAGAAGTCACAAGTGAATTTTTTAGAGTTTCAGAATTGAAAGGGCCTTTCTCTGAATCATCCCAAACCAGAATACATTAAATAAAATATTCACTCTAAATATACTTAAAAATTGAGTTTTCCATCTGAATATATAGCTATTCCACAGTAAGAGTATTAACCCTGCTTATATTAGAATAGATTAACTTTCCTATTCTTTTTTCCTGAGAATATTCCAGAAATATTCTACTTCTCTAATACTTTCAGAGTCAGTTATAAAAACTAAGTAAACTGATAATCTAAGCATTGTCTAAAGCACGTTCTATATACATCAATGAACTCTCAGCTTTCACAATCTGAAATGGAGTGGTTAAAAAGATGAGCAATTTTAGGATTTCCCAGGTCTTCTGACTCCACAATTCGTGCTCTTGCACCAATCCACAACTACTTCTCCAATATGAGTATATAAACACAAAAAAGTCCTATGTTTCAAAAAAACAAATGATGACTAAGATAAAACTTATAGAGCTCCTCTGAGAAAAATCATAAGACTATTTGTTACTGGAATAACTTTTATCTTCTCTTCATGGTATTTAAAGTAGTAATAAATGGGAAATGGGAAAATATTAGGAATCAAACATTTATCAATAAGTCACACTTAGTATATATTATGGTATATTATTGTCTTTTTAAGCTCCTTATAGTAAAATGGGATATTACTTAGAACAAACTGTTACTTTTCTCAAAAGAAGAAGAATGACCATTAAAATAAGACCCAAACGTGGAGGCATGGAACAGATTGATATACCTTGATGTGGGGTTTTCTAAGAGTATGCTAAGAATATATGATCTCTGAACAGGCTATACTTTCTTTCTTACCATCAATGGAAAAAGCAACTAACCTCTCTAGGAAATGAAATCACTAACCCAAAATGGAACATCTGTTGTTAGTAGCAATACTTTTGAGATCATGGGAAGTTCATTGATTCCCATGGAAAACATTAAAAGCTTTCACTTTGGATAAGGCTATTGTGAATGTCACTACTTAACTGTTGGAGACAAATGAATTTGAATTAAGAATATCGATTTATCCAATGGACCCAAAATGCCACCTCTATATATACGCATATATAAATGTGCTTTTAATATCCTCTATACTTTTCCTATGTATAGTACTGGTTTTTAAATATACACACACACAAATACATACATACAGACATTTGAAAATGACTAAATAAAATACCTCAGAATCCAATTCCTTATTAGTTTTTTCTAACTCTTTTTGTTTGCAAAGGAGTTCAGCCAGATTTTCATCTTGTAATTTTCTGGCATTCTGTTCTTGAGAAAGTTGCCTCAGAATGTCGTTTCGCTCACCTACAACCTAGAGATACATTTCATTTAGGTTTTTTTTATGTCATATCAATAAAAAAATCCAAAGTTTAAGAACAAAATCTTAATAAAAACTGTTAAAGTAAGTAGGCACAAGAATCTTTATTTTCCATGAAAAACTCAAATTGTAATGTGATAGCTAAATTTATTCTTTGAGCACAAATACAGTATTGTGAAAAAAAAAATCTTTATAAACATTTGAATAGTTTCATCACAATCTCAAGGCAATTTCGCTTCTATATTAACATTAAAAAAAAATTCTGTCATGGATGGACCTGGAGAATATTATGCTAAGTGAAATAAACCAATCTGAGAAAAATATCACATGATTTAACTTATTTGTGGAGTCTAATGAACAAAATGAATTGACCATTAAAATAAGACCCAAAACGTGGAGGCATGGAACATCCTGATATACCTTGATGTGGGGTTTAGAATATGAGAAGAAATAAACCAAAGAACGTATATACTTAAATGCATAGCTCATGGACACTGGCAATAGGGTGGTGAAGACTTGGTGGGGAGAAGGGGAAGGGGCTGGGAGTGGGAGATGAAAGAGGGATCAATGGGAGACATCTGTAATAATATCAACAATAAAAAATATCTATTAAATAAAATTAAAAGAAAAAATTAACATTTATGTTAATGTTAATGTCAATTTATTTTCTATTTTTCCATTTAGAAAATGTATTCAGAGCACTTACTAGATGCCAATAATATTTATAAATGTCACAGTTCATATTTTGAATGTGTTTACATTTTTGGTTTGCTTTAAACCTAGCAATGTACATTAAATCAAAGGCATATTATAAATATTGATGAAATACTATTTGAAATAAAAAAAAATTTACCAACAGTAAATTTACCTGACTTAAATTCTTCCTCACGATCTGCAATTCCATCTCTAGTGTTCTAAGAGTGGTTTCAAGTTCTCTGTTCATTTCAGTCTCTTTAATATATTGCTCTTCTTTTTTTATTAACTGTTCCCTATATTTTTCATATAATTGATCAGCTTTTTGTCTTTTCTCTTTTTCTTCTTTTAAGGTAAATCTGCAGTTAAATACACTTATCTTAAAATTCATTTAGTTAGAAAACAAAGAGTTCATTTTATGATCTTCTATATATGTTAGTTTATTATCCTTATAAAAATTTTATGTTCTCCATTTTTTCCTTTGTTCCTCATTTTTTTTTTTAATTTCTTACTTCAATCTCTATACCTGAAAGGCAGCAATGAAAAAAACATTCTGCTACTTAAGAAATTTACCTAATAGTAACTCTAGTAAATATTGTTGGAAAGGAATTTTGGGAAATTATTCAGTGAAGATAGAATTGAAATTTTCTTTTTCTCCACAATCCTATTCATTCCTCCATTAAGACAGGGATTTAGTTACTAATTAGAAACAGAAATTGTTATTTATAAATGAATTTATAAATTTACTAGAAATAAAGTTTTACCTTCACAAATATTACAGGTACTCCTAAAAATAATTTACAGTGTAATTCAGCATCTGTAGATATCTTTTATACAAGATATATCCATATACTACTGTAATCCAGAACTAGTTGAAGGAGTCAAATATTTGTTACCCTACATTTTTAAAGTTTCTTCTTTTGTAACACTTCAATTCATGTTGTTCATTATTATCTATTTTCTAAGTCACTTAAAAATCCTTTGCAGAGGGAATTTCACTCATATGTGGAATCTAATGAACAAAATAAACTAATAACAAAATAGAAACAGATTCATAGATAGAAAACTGACAGTTGTCAGAGGGAAGGGGAGTTGGAGGGTTTGGTAAAAAAAAAAAATGTGAAGCGATTAAGCGAAAAACAAACCCTCATAGACACATATTTATCTATAGGGGAAATAAATGGTGATGGAAAAAAACTTAGGGTAGTGAACATACACTATATGGTTGGTGTGTTATAGAATTGTACACTGTAAACCTATATAATTTTATTATTCAATGTTACCCCAGTAAGTCAATAATAAAGACAGACCTTGGAATTAATTTTATCTATTACAAAGATGCTGAATAAACTAATTAGTTACCATTTTCTGTTTTACTTTTCATTCTATAAGATTAAAGCTTAAAAAAAACGGCTATTTCATATTCTATTGGTGGGAATTTAGATTAATATGAACTTTCTTGAGAACAATTTAGAAATATAGATTAAAGGCCTTTTCAAAAAGTTCTCATACTTTAATCAAGTAATACTCTATCAAATAATTTATTCATAAAGTACAGCAGAAGAAATATAGTCAATAATATTGTAATGACAATGTATGGTAACTGAAAATACCAGGAAGAACACTTTGTAAAGTGTATGATTCTATAACCACTATGCTGTACATCTGCAATTAATACAAAATAATATTGAATGTAAATTATAATTTTAAAAAAGAAAATAATTAATTCAGAGTATATAATCAAAAATGTAGGAACAGATTTATGTAAAAAAAAAAACATTCCTGGAACCCTTAAATATAATACAGAATGAAAAACAACCAAAATTCAATTTGTTAAATAAATAAGATTTTTATATGGTAGACTGCTATATAATCATTAAAATGATGATTTGAAAGAATTTGCATTAACATTACTAGAAGTATGCACTGTTAAGAACTTGGTACATTATTTCCAAGAATTTTATACTCCACAATACTAAAGAAGTGTTCTTCCCTATAAAATCCCCAAATGTGTTAGCAATTATAAAATGTGTACATATCTGTAGAATAAAAATATTCAAATATTTCTTTACAACCAAGTGTTTAATACCTCAAACTGCATAGTTTTCCTTCTAATTCCACTTTTTGATGCTCTAACTGTGATTTTATTGCTCTTGCTTCTGATAGCTTCTTGTATAGTCCATTAATCCTATTTTCCATTGTTTTCACCTTTTCTATAAGTAATTCACATTGATTTTTCCCAAGTTCTATTGATCTTTCATATGAAAGAACTGCATTCTGGATTTTATATAAGTTATCTGAATCTGCATCAAAGAGAAAACAAAGATACAAATGAAATATATGAGTAATTTTATGTGTATAAAGAGGACTATACATTCTCACACATGTTCACACATTGAACAAATATATATTGAGTACATATAGTGTGGAAGACACTAAGTCCTGTAGATAAAACAAATCAGAGACCTGGCTCTAATTTGGCCTAAAGTTTTGTAGAAGAGCAAGACAAATAAAATGATAATTATAAATTCAGATGGATACTATATAAAAAAACAAAACAACCAGTTATATGGTCACATAACAGAACTTGATCAACATTAAGCCCAGAGAAGATTTCCCTGAAGAAGAGATGGCCTCAATGTCAAACACAGAATGAGCAGGAAGCAATTAGACAAAGGAAGGAGAGCATTCTAGACCGTCTGCATGTGCCAAACAAAATTCTATTAAAATCTGCTTCTAGCAAGAGAGAGTCACAGGTTATGATTTCCTTCCTACCTGAAACAAGCAAAAACAAAATAGACAAAAACATTAAAAACGTATTTTTAAGACAACGGATTTCAGACAATGAAGGACAATGGGTCCTGAAACAAATGAAATTGGTCTGTGTATCCCAGTTCACTCCATTGAAAGAATTCCCAGGCCACAACACAGAGAAAAAACTGAGCTAGAGTCCACCAGACTCCTTGAGTTAGTTGAGAAGTCTGGGGGTCTGGTGAAACCAAGCCTGATAGAGATCACAGGTTGGAAAACTGGAGAAGAGGGGGAAGAACAAAAAGAGAACCCAGGCGGAGCTTGAAGATGGCGACCGAACAGTCGGACCTATTCTGACTCTGGTCCCAGAACGGATAAAGGGGGCTTCTGAGTCGCTCAGGGAGAGTTGATTGGCAGCTAAGGGACAGCGGAGCTCTCAAGGAGGGTAAGGGAGAGACCGCTGGACAGGATTTCCTGACCAAGTGGCCAGGACGGCCGCGGCAGCAGCAGCAGAAGCAGCAGCAGCAGCAGCAGCAGCAGCAGCAGCGGCGGGGGCAGCGGAGGCAGCGTGCGGTGGGCTGCGGGCGTGGAGGAAGGGCTGCATTGTCTTGCCAGGAAGGAAAGAGCTTCTCTGAGGCGTGGAAAACGCACAGCCCGGAGGTCCATCGAGCAGCTGAGACTCCCAGAGCTGCGCAGACACGTGGATTCCGGGGAGATCTTCAGTCACCCACGGAAAGGTCAGAGTTTGCGGGGATAGCCTAAGGGATCTGGGTTCCGCGGCGGCGAGCTCCGGCCTCGCCTCCACTACGGCAGCCGGGGAGCTCCGGCCCGCCTCTGCTACGGTAGCCGGGGAGCTCCGGCCCCGCCTCCGCTACGGTAGCCGGGGAGCTCCGGCCCCGCCTCCACTACGGCAGCCGGGGAGCTCCGGCCCGCCTCTGCTACGGTAGCCGGGGAGCTCCAGCCCTGCCTCCACTGTAGACGGGTGCGCGAACTACAGCCCGCGGAGGCGGAGCGGAGCCCAGAGAAGGCTACAGCGACACCTAGTGCTGGGTTTGAAGTAATCCCCCCCAGAAGAGGGGCTTTTTTAAAACGCCAGGGGACAAGGGACAGTGTGTTAAGAATAGCGGCTGTCCCGCCAAGGGCGGAACATCTGGACACCTTGGCACCGGTTCCCATTCATCCCCTTGCTTCTGAATACTAGAGAAGAACTGCCCAGTGGGGCATAGCCGGGGAAATTGTAGGGGGAATTTGCCTTCTGGAAACAAGGGATTGGAGCCAGAAGACATAGTCCTGGAGCCAGCTAGAGCCATAGAGAAAGAAGGCCAGAGCAACCAAAAAGACTGGGAGGTCAAACCGGAAACACTGACACCTAAGAGCCGAATTACAAACTGCCTTTTTTTTTTTTTTTTTTTTTTCTCTTTTTTCTTTTTATTAATCAAAAATAAACGGACACAAATAACTAAGATATAACCTGCTTAAAATTAAGGTTTACCTTACAAAACTCAGGTGCAGTGGAATGCTGGGGCCTGCAAGACTGTCTGGTCTGAGAATCAGGAGTGCCAAATACATTAACAGAGGAAGTGAATGACCACTACTGGACATTTTTATGCTAATTTTACTATTCTGTATTTTATTTTCATTTTTTACATCTTTTATTTAATTTTCACTTTTTATAGCATTTACTTAAGAAAAATTTTTTCTATTTTTTTCCTTACTTCATTTTACCTTTTCAATTATTACATTTTTCAATCTTTATCATCACTATTACTACTGCTATTTTGCAATTTTTGTTTCTTTCCTTTTTTTTTTTTTTTTTTTTTTTTTGTTCTTTGTTTTTTCTTGTTTGTTTGTTTGTTTGTTTGTCTGTTTGTTTCCTCTCCAGTACCATTTTATTTTATTTTTTTTCTGTATTTTACATTGGGAATAACCTCCATTCTATTTTAATCACTACTTTAGCATCATTCAACCCTATCTCAACTTGACCTTTACACCATCACTCTCTTACTAAACTTTACCCTTTTAGTCAACGGTTTATCCTATCCCTTTCCGGCTCTAGATTTTCCTCTATTCTTTCTGTATACCCCTTGCTAAAGCTCTCACTATACGTATAGACCTAAGTTCCAACCCCTGATCCAAGTGTATAAATACCAATTTCTGTACTATATTAACTAGTTAAAAAAAAACAAAAACTGTTCTCCCCTCTATCCTTTGCGCATTGTTTGTGTGAGGGTTGATTATTGTGAATTTTTATGCTTTTTAGTGAAATGGTTATGCTTATTCCTGTGTTGTTATTGTTGCATTGTATTTTTTTTTAAAATCCTCTGTTTTTGTTTGTTTCTATTACTTCTGTATATCATAGACTTACTTAATAATAGTGGATATTGTAGTTTGTATTAATCTCCAAGTATTGTTACTGGCATTGGCTGGGTTCAGTAGTTGTTCTATGGCAATTTTCTCCACATATATATAGTTTGTTTCCCATTTCTCTTTTAGTTTGCTTCTTCTCTCCCTTTCTTTCTCTCTCTCTCTCTCTCTCTATCTCTCTCTCTCTCTCTCTCTCTCTCTCTCTCCTTTCTTTTTTTCCCTGTTTTCCAACTTTATTTTGTCATTACTTTTTTTCTTCTCTTTATATCTCTTTATCCTTCTTTTTTTATTTTATTTTCTTAATTTTTTTTTACATTTTAATTTTATAAAAAATTTTCTTTATTTTATTTTTACCTTTCTTCCTTCTCCCCTAACCCCTAAGTTGCCTTTCTCTAGTGGTCACCTTTATTTGAGGTTATTAATATTGTAAATACATTCCTGTTAAGTGCCTCTTGTGTTGTACCGGGTAGTGTTGTATATTGTACCTTTAAATCAACGCAGCAGAAGGAACACCACATAACCAGACACCCTGAAAAGAGAGGCTATGGGGAGACAAAAACATAGTCTGCACATAAAAGAAAAGCAGGCATCACCAGAAAAGGAAGTAGAGTCAGAGGCAACCAGCCTAACAGAGCAAGAATTCAGAATAATGATCATAGGATGGCTAAAAAGAATGGAAGAGAAATTTGACAATAACCAAGAAGAAATGAGGAAGAACCACGAGGAATTGAAGAAGAACCAAGAGGAAATGAAAAATGACATCGCTACCATGAAGAACTCAATAGAAAGCATCAAGAGTAGACTAGATGAAGCAGGGGACCGCATCAGTGAGCTAGAAGATAAGATGGAAAAATATACCCAAGTAGAGCAACTTCTAGAAAAAAAGATTAAAAAGCAGGAGGAGAGCCTACGGGAGCTTTGGGACAATACAAAACAAAATAATATTCGAATAATAGGGGTTCCAGAAGGAAAGGAAACTGAGGTAGACATGGAAAAAGTATTTCAAGAAATAATGACAGAAAACTTTCCTGAAATAGAGAAGAAAAAACCCACACAAATCCAAGATGCTCGCAGAGTCCCAAGCAAAATGAATCCCAGAAAACAGACTCCAAGGCATATTATAATTAAATTGGCAAACAACAACGACAAAGTAAGAATCTTAAAAGCAGCCAGAGAGAGACAGAAAGTTACATACAAAGGAACCCCCATCAGACTAGCAACTGATTTCTCAACGGAAACTTATCAGGCCAGAAGGGAATGGGATGAAATATACAAAGTCATGCAAAGAAAGGGTCTGAATCCAAGAATACTGTACCCAGCAAGGCTATCAATCAAAATTGAAGGGGAAATCAGGAGCTTCACAGACAAAAAAAGACTGAAGGAATTTATCTCCACCAAACCAGCAATGCAAGAAATGCTAAGGGGTCTACTGTAAAAATAAAGAAATATTAAGTGAAGAAGGAACACAGGGGTATAGATTAAAAATGGCATCAAATGAGTACCTATCATTAATAACTTTAAATGTAAATGGTTTAAATGCTCCAATAAAAAGACATAGGGTAACAGATTGGATAAGAAAACAAGACCCATACATCTGTTGCCTACAAGAAACCCACCTCAGAAAAAAAGATGCACACAGACTGAGGGTGAAGGGATGGAAAAAAGTTTTCCAGGCAAATGGAAATGAAAAAAAAGCTGGGGTAGCAATACTTATATCTGACAAATTAGATCTCAGATTGAAGGACATAATAAGAGATAATGAAGGCCACTTCATAATTCTAAAGGGAACAATCCAACAAGAAGAAATTACCCTGGTAAATATATATGCACCCAATACAGGAGCAACCAAATACATAAAAAAACTGCTGGAGGACATTAAGGGAGAGATTCATAGCAATACAATCATAGTAGGAGATTTTAATACCCCTCTGTCACCCTTTGACAAATCATCTAAACAAAAAATCAGCAAAGAAATATCAATCCTAAATGACTCACTAGACCAGATGGAATTAATTGACATCTTCAGAACACTCCACCCCAAAGCCGCAGAATATACATTCTTCTCAAGTGCACATGGGACATTCTCAAAGATAGACCACATTTTGGGACATAGGCAAAGTCTCTTCAAATTTAAGAAGATAGAAATCGTATCAAGTATCTTCTCAGACCATAATGGCATAAAACTGGA